TGCCTGTGTCTTGGCACACGCGACTTGTGACCGGTATCGGCTAAGTGTCTTCTAAATTCACAATCACAACACCCGTAAACCATTAACTTGATGAAGGATCACCTACACTAGACTGGAATTCAGAATTTCCCTTCTCCTAGACTGGTTGTACGCCAAGGCTATAGGGTCCTGTTTGTCGTGCTATTTACCCATAGCTGAGAGCTGAGAAAAGAGATGGATTCATACCTTTCCCAAGAGTATTTTCGAACAAGCGTTCAACTTGGCTGACATCTCGCTCTCACCCTTTCACTGTCGAAACTGTAAAATATAGCCGTCTCCTCTATTCTAATAGCTTCATGTCTCGCACTTCTCGATTGTGGAACTCCCTCCTCTTTTCCTGTTTCCCTGATAGCTATAATGCCCAACTATTCAAATGTAATGTAAATCGATGTCTCCTGATGCCTTGATCTATCCCCCTATCTTTCTCTTCATCTTTTCCTCTATCACTCCTCTTTGTTCTCGCTCCAACCACTGCGTACTAGTGGCTTCCCGCTTAAAAAAAAAGAAAAGTGAATGTAACATACTCTACTTGAATTCGAACTCGGCTCTCCGAATCCTCAATCTGAGCCGCTTTCCTTTACACCATCCCGCATGCATTTTTTCCAAACTATCGCACTTAAATTCAATGATATGCTCAAGTATCGATCTCATCAAGAAGCCTCGACTAGCGGACAGAGTTAGGGACCCCTGAACTATTATTACCTACCGGTGATCAGTGGCTAAGATCTATCATGTTTTTGCTCCTTTACTGGTGTTAAGGTTTTTGTTTTATGCACAATGAATGCATGGGTAGGGTGCTTCATTTTTTTTTTTTTTTGTTATTGATTGAACAAATCGATTCTCGATCAGTATCGTCTAGGTCCCGTGTGAGGGAGTATGCTGCTAAAAGACCCGATACCCCTAATGAAACTCGACTATAAACACCACTGACAGTGTACACCAGAGCACCAAGCAGATGCATTTCACGAAAAAAAAGATCATATCAACTAAGTTTGGCTTATAACGATACGAAGAAAAATAGATAAGTAAATCGAAGAAAAAAAAAATCAAAAGCAGAGGGCGAGATAATAGATTTATCCTGACTGATCTTTTGTTTTTTTAAAAAAATATATTATCAACCTTTTAAAAATTATTTAAAGCCAGAATGGATATTTTAGAATGTAAGAATTTTTTTTGAGATAATAACGATTTACGAATAAAAATCCTGCTATTTAAATCCGTTTCACCGATTTCTAATTCCAGTCCTGGGTAAGACGATAAACTTCATCCGCGTCCTGGGTAAGACGATAAACTACATCCGCGTCCTGGGTAAGACGATAAACTACATCCGCGTCCTGGGTAAAACGATAAACTTCATCCGCGTCCTGGTAAGACGATAAACTTCATCCGCGTCCTGGGTAAGACGATAAACTACATCCGCGTCCTGGATAAGACGATAAACTTCATCCGCGTCCTGGGTCAGACGAGAAAGTACATCCGTGTGCTGGGTTAGATGAGAAACTACGTCCAACAGCAAGGATTCGGATCAGGAGGTTTTGAGGAGTGTGGAACCATCTTTTAATTGCTGGTGTTCCCAGGTCCACCCTGACCCGGGGTGGTAGCACCTGTTAGTGTCCCGGCTATGGGCAAATTGTTCACCCCGAAACTGGAGTAAAAACTATCAAAGTGTAAAAATAGGTTTTAATACTAGAAATACTTTGTAAAAACAATTATTAGCAGCAATAAATTTTTGAAGGAAAAAAATATTACCAACAATACGTTTTTGATGAAAAATATTACCAGCTATACATTTTTGAGAAAAAATGTTACCAGCAATCCTTTTTTGAAAAAACATTATTATTACCAGCAATACATTTTTGAAAGAAAAATATTATCAGAAATAGATTTTTGACTGTCATGGGTCCTTACCTATAACTACACAATGAACTCTTCCTAAGACGATGTATACTACGCCTTTCAAGAGAGAGGGACGAATCAAGCCGAGCTTCTCGGCTTGTCGGTTGAACTCTCTGCCTCTGAGCAGAGAGTAACCCGGACGAGGCTCCGTCGAAGGGCAGAGTATCGTTCGGGGAGGTTGACCAACCCGATCCCGTTTATACGTGTTCTAGGGCATTTTTTGGCCGAGCCTATGGGCTCGGGAAACCTACATTAAACTCGGCCTTGTGCCACATGCAACCCTCGTGTAGGGGTGGCTAGATACCGAATCAAGCCGAGCTTCTCGACTTGACGGTCGAACTCTCTGCTTCTGAGCAGAAAGGAACCCGGACGAGGCTCCGCCGAAGGGCAGAATCTCGTTCGGGGAGAATGACCAACCCGATCTCGTTTATACGGGTTATACGGGCATTTTTTGGCCGAGCCTACGGGCTCGGGAAACCCACGTAAAAAATCGGCCTTGTGCCACATGCAACCCTCGTGGTGGGGATGGCTAGATACCGAATCAAGCCGAGAAGCTCGGCTTGACGGTCGAACTCTCTGCCTCTGAGTAGAGAAGAAACCAGACGAGGCTCCGCCGAAGGGCAGAGTCTCGTTCGGGGAGGTTGACCAACCCGATCCCGTTTATACGGGTTCTACGGGCATTTTTTAGGCCGAGCCTACGGGATCGGGGAACCCACGTTAAACTCGGCCTTGTGCCACATGCAACCCCTGGGGGGTGGCTAGATACCGAATCGTGTCGAGCCGATAGTAGTTCACTCCAAACCAGACTGACAGTCATCCTAACACCTTCCACATCTTGTATTATTATTTCGTGTAATATACCTTCGTTATTTCTACTCTTGTGTTCGTGTTGTTCTTCCTTGGTCCTAACCTGGACCATGACATTGGCAAAACAAAATATTACCACCAATAAAAAATTTTCGGCATTACATAACACATTGAGGTTGATATGCCGTAAAACAAATCAACACAAAACAAACCGATTTCTTATTCCGAGCCGTTATCCATGGCAACTCTTTCACGTTTCAAGTTTACATTGCCAGGAGGCCACCCATCTATGTACTGCCCTGACTTGACCTTATTTAACTTCGGTTATCAGACAAGAATTGACGCTTCAACGTGAAGCCTGCCACCAAGGTCGAAGAGCTTCTATCTACCCATTAGCATACTAACCGTGTTTGTATTCAGAGTTAGATTTCGGGACTGGATTCTATGAAGAAGTTATGGGTTCATAACTTTCACGAGACTTTGTGTAATTAAGCATAACGAGCTCGGCCTGGATTTGAACTTCCTGAGCCGACAACAGTTAGAAATCAATTGAAACATCCAAAAGCAGCGAGGATTGAAGTCAGTCTAGACCAGTGGTTTTCAACCTTTTTGCTGGAGTGGAACCACAAGGAAACATTCCAGTGGTTCGAGGAACCCCTACAATAAATTAATTGTCTTATGCAAAAAAAAAAAGCTTTCAATTATTAAAATAAAATAAAAAATACTCATCTTCAGATTTATTTACAAAAAAATACAAACTGTAAAAATATTGTATACGTCCATATGCAATTTTAATCTTGCTTATACGGTTATTACACATGTATTTAAAAAAAACTTCAGTTTAAATGGATTACATTTATTTTCATTAAAAATTCAATGAGAAACTTGAGCCTGATGTTTCTTGAACAAATCTTTAATATTGGGTCGTGTTTATCACAGACACACACAAAGTTCATCTTCCACACATATCTGCAGAGGAGAATTAAAAATTACTGTCAATCATAGGACTTGTGTAACTTCTTGCGGAACCCCTGGGCTTTACTGGCGGAACTCTAGGGTTCCGCGGAAACCTGGTTGAAAACCACTGCTCTAGACTATTATAGTCCTCAAGATTATCGGGGAAGTTGATCTCATTATAATTTTGCGTGTTTCTTCCGTTCTGTCAATAGCTCATAAATAATGAACATTAAAAAATCTGTTAAAGTTTCCTTTGAGGTTTAGCATCAGATCTGACCGAAGATTTAGTCTTTCTGCTATATCTGGGTTGGAACTGTCCAATTTTCACTCTCTAGCTTTCAGGAACTTCAAAATCACTTACCCGGTCTTTTGGTAAAGGGCTTATTCCTCACTTTGCGGCCTCTTGCCCACAGACGCAACGTTGCTATTCAAGGAAAATTGTTCAGTTGGGCACTTCTCTTCGCTTACGTCAGTTCAGATTCTACCTCCGCGAAGTCGAACCAGTATCATTTCCCCCGTATCTCAAATATAAGGATAAAAATTCCTCTCACTATTTTCTCTTTAAAAAAAAAACTTACTCCCACATGGATACTTTCCTGAACACTATAATCATAATCTCTTCAAATCATGAGTAAATCGCTATCTTCGTTATCCTCATAATCTCCACATCCTACTACGCCCTCTTCATTCATATCACCTACTTCATTCATTATAACAATTTTAACACTATCACTCTATTTTGAGTGGCTCTGAAGCCTTGCAACGGAGAAAACATTAGTATAAAAATATCTGGCGATAGGATATTAATGGTAGGTCCTTTAACTGCTGCATTTTAAGTGATATAAGTTCCACAGAGTGGCCATGTTGTTTCAAGAGTGTTCACTAGGATTGAGATCTGGAGTGTTTAATGGCCGGGACAATATAGTGAAGTCTTTTTCGAAACCATTCCAGTACAATTCGCACATTTTTTTTCTGCTCAGTGACGCCTCTATTACCGTAGATGACTGGTGTTTGGAAGTGGTATATGTGGTCTTCATAGATAGTCGTGTATCAATAGTTAATTAGAAGTACACATTCCACATTCTATATGAATGATAAAATTCATTGTTTCCCAACAGAATATTGACGAAGTCGTTAAACTGTCTCCATCGGCTGGTTGCTTTCACAGGATGAATCATCATTTTATTCGCTTTCCTACTTTGGTTAATACCATTTTTTATTGAGAAAAACGGCAATCCTTCACTTAAACGGCGTAAAATAATCCTTCATTTTATATCTTTAAATATTTTTTCATTGTAAATATGACTGTGGACAATGGTGGTACAGACAAGAGGTGGGGTTCGGGAAAGTGTTTCTTGGCTGAATTGCCAGATCGTCGAGCAGGGACTCCAAAAGAAAGCGATTGTGCGGTATATTCAGCCTGCAAGCCATACCGTTTCAGATGGCTGGAATCGAGGAAATCAAATGCGGGATATACTCCCATGACGTCGTTATTCATCAGCAGATACAAGAACAGTCCCGTGTTTTCAGCATTTGCTGTGCAATCTATCATTATTCGTTGTAATAATGTTTAATTGTAATAAGCGTATATACCTTAATCTTATTGATTTTACGTCGTTCAGAGAAACAGTTATGTGCCATGCGTGATATATGACTGACAAGGCAGATATTTTCCCGCACTAGGTTGCCATTTCTTTCTGCAGTAGACCAGTTGCCATTCAAGGCTATAGAACCCGTTCTGTCCTGCTATTTACCCAGAGCTGGAAGAGAAGAGGATTCGTACATTTCCCAAGGGTATTAGCACGTAAGTGGCTATAATGGATTTGACTGGAATTCGAACTCGGCTCTCTGATTCTTCAATCCGAGCCACAATCCATTACTCTACCGTGCCTTATTAAAGGAAGCACAGTAGTATTATTCAGTCAGTTATGTGCCATGCATGATACACGCTTAGGCGTATCTTTCGATACATGACTGACGAGGCAGATTTTTTCCCGCAGTAGATTGCCATTATTTTCTGCGGTATACCATTTGCCATCCAAGGCTATAGAACCAAGTCTGTCCTGCTACTTACCCATAGCTGGAGAGAGAAGAAGAGGATTCATACCTTTCCCAAAAGTATTAGCACGTAAGTGGCTGTAATGGATTTGAATAGAATTCGAACTCGGCTCTCTGATTCCTCAACCCGAGCCACAATCCATTACTCTACCGTGCTTTATTAAAGGAGGTACAGTAGTATTTTTCAGTCAGTTATGTGCCATGGGAAATACAAGCTTAGGCCATCACGTTCTGTCCTACTATTTACCCAGAGCTGGGAGAGAAGAGGATTCCTACCTTTCCCATGGGTATTAGCACGTACGTTTATGTCATGGATTCAACTCGGCTCTCCAATTCCTCACTCCGAGCCGCTATCCATTACTCCACCGTACCTAGCAGTTTATTTTACGCTGCTTAAGGGAAGAATTACCGCGTAAACGTTGGGTTTCAGAATAGAAGCTGGTGTTGATTTTCATTGCACAAAACTGGTATTGTAGATGTTAATATTTCTGAGATGAGGTATTATGTACACTATTTATATAATTAGGATTATTGTCCACATCTTTATCGCCATATTTATTATAACGTTTCGGCCGTTGTACGCTCCGGCCTTCTTCAGGTGGTTGTAATGTCGAACTGAACCCTTTATTTCGCTCACTGGGGTAGACTGTTCTAGTTCCACGTCCCATGTTTAACAGATGCCAGTTATCATTTATCTCCTGTTAATTCCCCTCTCCAAGTTCTCCACCGCCTTAGGACCCCAAAGAATGTGAGTTCAATACCCGGTTAAGGCAGTGGAGGACTTGGAAGAGGAATTAACAGGAGATAACTGATAACTGACATCCATTAGACATGGCACGTGGAACTAGAACAGTCTACCCCAGTGAGCGAAATAAAGGGTTCAGTTCGACATTCCAACCACATGAAGAAGGCCGGAGTGTACAACTTCCGAAACGTTGTAATAAATATGGCGACAAAGATGAGGACTATAGTCCGAATAATGTAAATAGTGTGGTATTGTAGATATCGATATAAAATCAGTTTTTAAATTTCATTTTGCTTAAATGTTGTTTTAGAAAATACAAGAATTCACTTGTCCCTAATTACTAGCGAAATATACATATCTTGAAAAAATGGAAGCTTACTGATATATCACGAGGTTTAGTGGAGAAGTAAGCAACATAATCTGTTCTGGTTTTTTTTGTCGGATATTGAACGAAAGATTACCAGCGTGAACAATTCATAATCTGTAATGAACGTACGTGTATGTAAGCTGGCATTTATTTTACTAATGTTTACTTAATACAGAGCCACTCAAGGTAGAGTGTTACTGAATGATGATTTATGAGCGTAAGAAAAGTAACAAGTACAGTTTATGAGTTTATGTGGGAAATATAACCGTTAACACTAGACCTGAAAAGATTATTGCAGGGATTGGCAAAACATCATCTCAGGTGTATTTACTAAACAAAAGACAAAACTATGGCTAATTCCGTGTCCATTCGACGTACGGCTGACTGGTTATAAAGATAGCGTTCAGCTCATGAGACACGGGTTCGGATCTCACTATGGTTCATTTGTCAAAGAGATGACGGTCATAGCGGGCACTGTTGTTAGAAAGTGCCGGGTTGACACAAGCTGTATGAGTGAAAATGGGTAGACGACCAAGTGTTTGGGCCTACCGACCTAGTTCAACTTCTGAATATACAACAATATGAGCCCTCTCCCGGAAACTGTGTTTAAGATCAGCTCAGCTTATTTGAATTTGAAACTACAAGTTGACCCTGCAGAGGTTGCAGAATCAAAAACAGACATGAGAAGGGGTCTGCAACAGTGAGTAGCTAACCAACCTTGCAAACAGGTGCAGTCAGAAACAATTATACAAAGCACAGTCTAATCATTGCCTCTGGCAAATCCCACGGGGAGTCGCAGAATCTAGGATTGTTTGGTGCGTGTCTAGAAGTAAGTGATACCTCGTTTCACACCATGCAAGGCAATAAAGCCACTAAGTGGCAAGAGGTTACTCATTATACGATAATATGAGGAAAGGATTCATTATTAAGGAGAGAGGACAATGAAAGAACAGGAATTAAGAAGACAGAAGATAACGATTGATATAACATCGAAATTTTTGAAGATCAAAGTTAAAGCCGGATGAGAGTTCCACAAGCGAGAAGTGCGAAAGAAGAAACTATTAGCATAGAACTTACGGTTACATGTAGTCATTTCAACTGTAAAATTATGAGACCTTTGCGCTAATCTAGTAGTAGGCTTAAATTCATAAAGTCCAGGCACCAAAAAGGAACGTTCATTTGAACAATTATCATGAAAACATTTCTAGAAAATCCACAGGGAAGCTACGTTACGGCGGTGGGAAAGTGAGTGAAGCCGAGATGCCAGGTCAGGACCAATAACATTGCATATTCTTCTTTGTATTTTATCAAGAATATCTAACATGAGGATTACATTCATTATATTTTCTTAATAGTCTATTGTCTGACATGGTAATAATTGCTATACGGTGAGATGTCTACTAGTGCATGTACGCTCATGTTGAATATATACATGTGAATGTCTGTATGATTCTATGTGTATACTTATATGCGTGTGTATGTGTTTGTGTATGTGTACTATGAGAATATCTGCGTATGCGATTATCTTTGTGTATGTACATACTTTCTCAAAATGATGTGTGTGAAACTGATGTCTTCTGCCACATGTATATTCAAACTGTTAAAATCAAAAAAAAGGCAAAATAATATTAATAATAATAATGTCCGTAAATAGCTTCAATCCAGTCGCTTCTTCTTCTTCTTCTCGCCCCCTTCTTTCCTCCACCACCACCACCACCACCACCATCACTGTCGCCACCAAACCCCGTTGCTACCACACCCACTGTTAACAAACCCCGCCTTAACCCAACCCTCTTCTCCGCCTGAGTCCCGATTCCCACCCCCAAACCACGATACATATACAACGACCGCTACCACCCCCATCGCCATTTTTATCGGTCTCCTTTTTTCCATTCACAACATCGATCTAATTGTCTGTTACATTAATGATGCACAAACAATGCATACACACTACCGCCGCCCATACTGTCGGTATTAAGAAGAAGAAGAAAAAAAAAGACAGACGAGAAGACAGACAGACAGACAGAAAGAAAAAAAAAACTGTTTAGTGGGTATTGAAGAGTAGAGAAAAAATAATGAAAACCGAACACAGAAAAAAAAAAAAAAAGTAACATTTGGTGTGTAGGAGTCCATAGAACGCATGTCTCCGGTTTGTAGTGATGAGCGTGTTGAGGTTACGGAAGGACAGGCCATTTAACAAACTAGCCGACTGATGTCCGGTGCGTGGCCCGGATTATCCAACATTGATTGTTGCGTGGGTGTAAAAAGGTTAGCATTTCTTCTTTCTCCAATAATCCAAATGTGTAGACAGCAACAGGAGTAGCAGCAGCAACAACCCCTTACCCCATCCCTGCGTTTGTCTCTCTGTTTTATTCGTTTATATATGTGTGACTACAGGGGTTAATTGCTTCGGTTCAAATCTACAACATTTCCAGTGTTACCGTCGGTAGACATTGCCCGGTGGGTGCATTGCATACGGAAAATCTCGATGTATACAGTTCAATATTTTTGTATTGCATTGGCTGATGGAACTATCAGCTTGTAGAAGGAAAAAAAAAGACGTCGTTCCGCCATAAGGTTTTGCGACCAGCATTTTCTTTTTCCGTCATGTATTTGTATTTTGCTTTAGAAAATTATACGTCAGCAATTTCTGAATAGGACGCTGGTCGAGTGAGAAGTGTTTACTTATTTACGTAAATTATTGCTGTTTTGGTTCCAAGATCATGGCGATTGGACTTCTCACATTCATTCTTTGATTTACGCGCGAATTACCACAGTCAATCTCCTTTTCTTTCTCTTATCTATCTATCTATCTATCTATCTATTGATTGTTTTATCTATCTATCTTTCTCTCTTCTGTCTTTAGATAGATCGGTAGATAGATATAGCTATCATGCAACCCTATTTCTATCTATCTATCTATCTATCTATCTATTTTCTGTCTTTAGATAGATAGATAGATAGATAGATAGATAGATAGATAGATATGACTATCATACAACTTATCTATCAATTCACCCTTCTCTTTTCTGTATTTAGATAGACATATAGATACATATACATATCACAATCTATCTATCTATCCTTCTCTTTTCTATCTTTAGATAGATGGATGGGTAAATAGATAGATA